GGGAGGGCGGGAGACAAACTGCAGAAGAGGAGAGACCCACCCTCAGTGTTTGCACAGTGAAATACTACTTGCAAACTATTATTCTGTACATTTGCAACGTTGTGAAGAATGTCCCGTTCTTTGCATTAATTACAAGGAACTAGTTGGTATAAAGAAATTTTTCTTCGCGGCAACTTTGCAAGGTAAAAGAATTTACAGGAACTAGTTGGTTAATGGTTACTGGTACAAAGATAGGGAAACTATTTTTACAAGGTTGCCAACTTTGCATTCTAGAAGGGCCAACAATATTGTGGCATGCAAGAAAGCCACCGAGTTCACAGTAAATACTAAGAAATTATTTCGAAGTTGGAAAGAATGCACTGGAAATTCAAGTGTATGCCACACAGCCGTAGGTGAGTTAAAAGGTATACACACACCTACAGGTGTGCTACGAAATTGGAAGTAAATGGCTTGACCTATCATTCAACTTGTGGCACAACAAATTTACTACAAAGGTTAAGAGATATGACACAGCTCACAGCTGAGCACCGGTATTTCAGTCACTGCACGCGCCGTGGTGATCAAGCGTGAATGCGTTGTACTAGCACGCACCGCGGCGGCGCCAGAAAAGGACCACCCGGTACCGGTACGTACCTGGCCGAGGCTTCGGCCGGGGATGTCTCAACGCGGTTCTTAGCGGGCCCCTTACAGCATATCTCGCTCAGTGGTTGTTTGGTTGATTCATGCGTTATTGTGCTCCCGGTGGTTGTTGCTGCTGCTGCAGCAGCGGGCGTCGCGGCCGCGACAGTGTTGTGCTGTTCCGGTATGGAGTGCTTGCCGAGGCACCCGCAGTACTCGCGGACCTCGGCCGTCGGGCGCGCGCACAGGGCGCACGGCCCGGGGTCCAGGTCCGCCCGCCGCCCGGCGAACTTGACGTAGTGGGCCCGGATGTCGTGACGGTGTTCGAAATGCGCCATGCCGTCGCGCTCGATGCGTTCCGCGCAGGGCGGGTGGAGGCGCAGGAACCTGAGGTCCCACTTGCGCAGGACCACGAAGGCGTTTATGACCACGCACTCGAACACGGCGGTCATGGCGCAGCAGCGTCCAACGGCAGACTGGCCTGGACAGGCCGACGGGCCTTCGCCGCCGGTCGCACGCATCCTGTTGTCGCGCCGGGGATGTGCGTCCGAAACGGTCCGAACGCACGGCTGCGGCCCGCGTCAAGGGCTGGCGTTCGAGGTGGGTCTCCCTTATCTCTTGCTCTCAGCTGACGGGTAACATTCACAGAGGGGATATTTTTGCCTTCGTCAGGTCCTCGCAGAGCGCCGGGCGCGGACCATGTGGCGCTGCGGAGCGGGAGTTTTCCAACCACTGTCAAATAATTTGATTGCATAAATTTGCACAAGTGTGAAACCTTTTTTCAAAGGATCATTATTTTAACCCTCCAAAACGCGGGTCTAGATGATTGCCATAAACAAGTCACGTCAGCGTAACGTATTTACAATCACAATCACCCAAAGTTGTATTTCCTGAAATACGGATCTCTCTCTCTCTCTCTCTCTCTCTCTCTCTCTCTCTCTCTCTCTCTCTCT